AAAAAGAGCTCGACGCCTTGAAGGGAAGATAGGCTGAAGAATTGCTCGAAGCCTTGTTGTCCTACTGAACGATAGCCAAGAGTTCGACAAGTGAAACCCTACATACGGGTGTGAAGCAATGACCCCGATTAAGGTAGGAATCAGTTTGTTCCAAAGGGAAGTTTTCAACAAAGAAATAAATGAAGACCTTCTCGGCCTAGGGCTAGACCTAATCGAAGAGCATCGGGTCAAGTCTCAATTAAGGCTTGCCTCATATTAGCAGCAAGCCAAACGATACTTTAACACCAAAGTAAAAAACAAAGACTTTGAAGTGGGCGACCTAGTTCACAGGAAAGTCATCCAAGGTACCCAAAACCCGAACATGAGGGCACTTAGGCCCAAATGGGAAGGTCCTTTCAGGATCTCCGAAAAGCTCGCACTAGGATCTTTTCACCTAGAATACCTCAAAGACGAAGCCATACTACGAGCCTGGAACACCGAGCATTTGCAAAAGTATTACCAATAAGCAGCGCGGGTTCCGCTTATGACTTTCTTTTTATCATTCGATGTAGGCCATTCATGGGCAAAGTGCTTTATCAATAAAAGAGGTATTATTCATAATCTTTCTTTTGTTCATTATTGATGTTTTAATTTGTTTAGCATTTATTCGTCGCTTCAAAGATCACGACCTACACTGTAGCATTCCAATAAAAAAAACTCGGAGTCAAGAGTCCGAGAAAAGGCAACTTATCTCAATAAGTCACGCCAAAATCAAACTCTATAAGGGTGAAATATCCCAAATGGACGAAGTTAAACTTGAAAGAAAAATTTCAAGAAAAACACATCGAAAGGAATCGGCCTTAAGCCGACGACCAAAACTCGAAACAAACAATTGATCCGGAATCAGAGTTTTATGTCACAAAAGATTTCCTTGCACACATCTTAAAAAGCTCTTCAAAAAGCGAGCTACACATAACTTGGAGCAAATTCGAATATGCTATTACAAGTCCAATTTGGACAATTGAAATGACCCTACAAAAATATCAAATTTTTGCTCGATGAGGATATACTAAAAAATCTTCCTTTCATTAATAAAGTGCTATTACATTCTAAAAAAAAAAAAAAAATGATGTTTCAAGCAGCTGGGGGAGTAGGGGGATCATCATTGACCAGTCCAGGGAGTCCGTAGCTGACTGAAAAAGACGGTTCCTCGACGAAAGGAATGGCAACAATTTCTTCAAGGTTGGGAACCTCACTTGGGGGAAGTGTAGTTAGGGGAGTCAGATCCTCAACTTCTTGCTTAAGCCTGATCTCCTCTTCACCTTTCTTGACCTCTTCCTAGCCTTCACTGTCATCCTTGGAGTCATTTGAGTACACGTAGGCCATTCCCTAAGCCTCGGTCTTCCCCTGTCGAGCTCCTTCTAATAAGCTTACGGGAGGAAAGAGAAGTCGATTGAAGGGTGGGCTCCCCACTACGTCTATACAACAAAGACTAACGTCTGCCAAGCCTAGGCGGTGATGGTCTCATTCAACTCTGTTAACCTTTCGCCTCTTAGGCAAGGTCGAGCAAGGACTGCTTGAACTTGGCCTCCCAATCTGAGGCATCTTTTTGAGCCGAGGAAAGCTCAAAATTCAGTTTATTGTTGGCACCTCACTATTGCGTCAAATTCTTCCCAGCCTTAGTTGCCTCGGCTTCAGCCTTAGCTCGAGCGGCCTTGCTTGCTTTGAGCTTGTCAAGGAACTCCCTTTCCTTGGCCTCGAAGGTCACCATTTCCGCCTTGAGTCACTCGAGCTCAACCTGCCTAGCTTTCTTCTCATTCTCTGCAACCTCAGCCCTAGCCAGAGTATCCTCTTTCACCATCTCTGCTAGTTGCCACCCTTTGTGAGTGCCCTACAAGGTGGCATAGCACACATCGTAGAGAAGCCTACTTGCCATGGTAGCCTAAAACAGATAAGACGAAAAGTCAGTAAGAAGTGAGGACAACATGCAAATAAAGGAAAAGTAGAGCGAACACTAGTACTTTCACTACATAGCTGCACACCAAGGCCAACATCTCGGTAGGAGATGCGTCCCTAACAGCCACGAATGTTCATCGGGTGATGTTGTCCCCGACTACTGCAACCCCAATGCTAATATGGTCAGGGAGTTGATCGATCAACGCATTGACTGTAGCTTGGGTTGCTTCATCCATGTTCTTGCTTTTCGGTCGGGATGAGCTAGACTTACTCCCCCCAGCAGCGCTAGCCTCGCCTGCAAGAGCGAACTTCTTCTTAGCCAAATCCTTGGCGGTTGTTTTCTGTAGGCTGCCAGCCTGCACAACGACCACTTTGCCTGAGCCAACTTGTTGCTCGGCCACTTTTTGCTTTCCCGAGCCTGCTTGAGGCTCAGACAATTTCTTCTCGCCCAAGCCATCATACTGCATAGGCCCCTTCTGTTTTCCCGAGCCCCCAACCAACTCAGGCATTTTCTTTGTTGGCCCTTTCTGGGGCTTAGAGACATTCTTCTTGCCAACTACCTTTGAGGTAGTCACAGGCTTCTTCGCACTTGGGTCTTCCCTAAGCTCGCCACTATCGCATTTCACGTCGGCAATGTTAGTGGGCTACTTCGTCGCCAAACCAGTTGATGTCTTCTTGGCAGCCGCTGAAGGTACCGCTTTCTTCTTAAGGCCTTTTGGTTTCTCAGCCCACATTTCTGCAAAAATGAAGCAAACAGTGAGCGACCTATCTGCACGGGGAAAATAAGCGCAAGTAAACGATAACTTAAACATTTTCTCCAAAATGGTAGGAAACTTGGCGTCGTCTCAACAGAAGCCGTATACCCTCAAGTGAGGAAGCATAATGATCACGTTAACGTTTCGCTATCCGTTGGGAAGGTCACTGAAACGCTGGAGCCCTTGCAAGGTTGAGAAAGGGAGATAGTTCTTCTCGACGTTAACTGCAAAATAAAGCAACTCGGTTAGCTAGAATACAAAGATCGAAAGTGATCCTCGCACGCACGGAAAGTCGAAGTCTTACTCGCTTTCGAAGCGAAAACAACAGTCTCTCTAATCATTCAATCGATTCCCAGATAACTTCAAATCCAGATATTACGGGAACGATCATATTAACAGCAAATCACAGCGCAATCACAACACCGACTCATGAGAATATCAGAGTTGCAGTTCAAATAAATTGTAATCCCTTTATTTTTGCTTTTTCCTTTGTACAAATATTATATATAAACCCCCTTAAATGAGGAAAAATGGGTTAGATATTTTTCAAAGAACTCTTATTGTAAGCTCTTATAGCAAATACAAACAGTGGACGTAGGCTCAAGAGTTTACCTTGCCAAACCACTTTAAAAATCACATTGTTATTTATTTTATTGCATCTATCATTCACCCATCACAGATTATTTGTGATCACGCCCACATCCATTTTGATTAAACCAAGGTCAATCGGATCTCTCTGGTTGGTGTGAATTTTTGTATCAACAATTTTTTTACAGGTTTGAATGGCATTAGCCTTTTTTGGGTTGGTGTACTATTTTTCAAAAAAATCTAGGGGTTAAAAAAAGTACAGTAGTGTTTACTAGACCCTCAAATTTTTACATCAATCATAATTAAATTCATATCATTTTGAATTTGGCTCGAAGAAGTTAATACCGAACACGCCCAGGAGATGACATTAATCCCCGCGGTGATGAGCCCCTACCTTGTTCGGGCCGAGGATGACATGCCAAAATTCTGTGGCGAGACTAGGATTGATTTAGAGTCAACGACAGGGATTGATACCTAGATCTAGCTCGACCCATAATCCCCGAAAAATATTAAAAGTTAAGCGAAATTATTTTTGAATCCGACCTATTTTGTTAGTGATTATTGTTTATCCAAACTCCTAAATCTAATCTAATGCAATATATTACTGACAATATTTATTAAGTGACAATATTTTTGCATCTTTATAAGTCAATTTGCCTGTTTGCTTCACCATAACATTCTAAAGGCAAGATTGTAAATTTGGAAAAAAAAAAAAAAAAGTGCCTCCAGATATGTAATCCTATATATTTGCATATATTATGAAACTAATCATGAAAAGCAGAAAAACATAGGTAATAATTTACAAATTATTGTCTTACTTCAATTTATCTTATTACATGAGCATCAAACTTATGCATGTTATATCAATTATTAGTTAATACAAACTAATATTAATGGGCATATTCTAATCTAATAACTTTACTGCATTTTAAGTTTAAATGATTTTTTGTATGTATAAGGTATTTGATTTTTTTTTTTTTTTTTTTTTTTTTTGGTTACTATCTAAAATCAGCAACATCGGCAGCAACTGGAAAATCAGTTACGGTTTGATATTATCACTATCATCCCTTTTTTGTTACGTCATCGTCATCAAGATTAATTTTCCCTCTTCGGAGTTTTCTTAAACTTCCTCTTTGACCTATCAAATTTACTTCAGGGAACTGATTTTTACTCCCCATTTATTGTATCAATAGCCCCCACTTCTGTTAGTATTGAGGGTAAAATCATCAAAACAAGAATAAAGCCATGAGTGTGTCCAAAATTGCATGGGTAATGGCAGCTCCTAGTTTATTCAAAGCGCATTATATTGGTTTTCAAATCACCAACTCAAGCATAGCACATTGGCGTCTCCCATCACAGCATCCATTAGTTCAATTTATTTAATCCCAACTTCAAGTCCTACAACTGCCACATTTAATGTTTAAATTGTACTTATGCTTTTTCATGTTTTTTGTGGTACGTTTCAAAGTCTTATATACGTTTAACATGCTTAAATAATTTAAAGTTTATTTTTCGTTAATAAAATAAGTTTGCTTAAATTGATTCTAAAAACAATTAATTATTAAAACATTTTTTAAACATTGTATCAAGCATGTTTTCATGCTTTAATATTTTTTAGTAAATAATAAATCAAATGACCCTATGGTATGTTGTAAGTTCAACTTTTATGATATAAAAATCAATATATATGAGTGTGTGATTTACCATTAACAATTTCGCAAGATGGAAATTTGGTTCATCGTCTTCATCTCTCTCAGCATTGTTACGTTGTTTAACCTTCTCTTTTCAAAAAAATCCAAACCTACACTACCTCCAAGTCCCTTCTCTTTTCCTATCATTGGAAACTTTACATTGCTCCGCAAATCTCCTTCACAAATGGAATCCTTTGTCCGATCACTTAACTCAAAACTTGGTCCCGTAATCACCCTCCAATTCTTTGGAACTTCTCCCGCCATAATCATTTCTGACCGCTCATTAGCCCACCAGTCTTTGATCCAAAATGGCGCTGTGTTTTCTGATCGCCCATCTTCCACCACCATTACAAGAGTCACTAGTAATCAGCGTACAATCACCTCTGCTTCTTATGGCCCTACATGGCGCCTCCTCCGCCGTAACCTTATGCCAGAAATCCTCCACCCTACTCGTGTGAAATCCTATTCAAATGCGCGCAAGTGGGTGCTTCAAATCCTTGTTGATATTCTCAACTCTCACTACAAATCCGGTGATCCAGTCCGCCTTCATGACCATTTTCAATATGCCATGTTTTGCTTGTTAGTCCTGATGTGTTTCGGGGACAAAGTTGACGAGAAGACAATTGAAAAAGTGAAAGAGGCTGACCATCACCTTCTTCATAATTTGAGCCGGTTCCATATCCTCAATTTCTTGCCAAAACTGACAAAGATTTTGTTTCGTAAAAGATGGGAAGAGTTCTTGAAAATGTACGGAGAAAAATATGATGTGTTGATGCCGTTGATAAAAGAGAGAAGGAAGTTGAAAGAAGAGAGAATAAACAATGCTAAACAAGTGAACGATGAGTATGTCTTAGCATATGTAGATACTTTATTTGATCTGGAACTCCCGGAGGAGAAGAGAAAGCTTAATGATATAGAAATTAGTAATTTGTGCTCGGAGTTTCTTGTTGCTGGCACTGATACAACATCCACAGCGTTGCAATGGGTGATGGCAAATTTGGTTAAGTATCCACGTATTCAAGAAAAGTTATTCACAGAGATTAAAGGGGTTGTTGGAGATGAAGAGACAGAGGTTAAAGAAGATGAGTTGCAAAAGATGCCATACTTGAAAGCAGTGATTTTGGAAGGTTTACGACGCCATCCTCCTGCACACTTCTTGCTAACACATGCTGTCTCAGAGGACACAGTTTTGAATGGGTTTTTTATTCCAAAGAAAGCAAGTGTAAATGTGATGGTCGCGGATATAGGATGGGATCCAAAAGTATGGGAAGATCCTATGGAGTTTAAGCCAGAAAGGTTTTTAAATAATGAACAAGCGTTTGATATAACAGGGAGCAAGGAGATAAAGATGATGCCATTTGGGGTTGGGAGAAGAATTTGTCCAGGCATTGGTTTAGCAATGCTTAAATTGGAATATTTTGTGGCAAATTTGATTTGGTGGTATGAGTGGAAAGCTGTGGATGGAGATGAGGTTAATTTGGAAGAAAAGCGTGAGGTGCTCACAGTCGCCATGAAAAATCCATTACAGGCTCATATAAGTCCTAGGACCAAATAAAGATTTGAAATATCTTATGTTAATTCTCATTACGTTGTTAGTACCAATCTTTACAAGTTTTGTGCCTGTTCTAAGGTTGTGAATGTATTGGGCCTTGTCGCCGTAAATGGGCAAGGCCTAGTAGAATCAACAGGCTTGCATTATGAGATAAATGGTATGTTTGGTTTATTATTTTGGATAGAATTTTGGGGATAGTATTGGATAGTTGGATAGTTATGATTACGAGAATAAGATTTTCAGAATATGTGTTTGATAGAGTATTTTGAATTTGATATTTGTGTTGAATATTTGATTAATATATTTTTTTATAAATGATTTATTAATATAATATTTTATTGCATTTTGTTAAAATAATGTATTATTATATATATAACTTATCAAGTTACATTTTAATAATACTAAATATTTTATTGGTAATTTTGTCACCTGTATATATTAAAAAACAAAAACTCATATTAATTTCAAGTACTAATCCAACTGTTTAAAAACATTACATTAATACATATATGACAAAAGTACTAATTATCAACCCTTACAATCATTATTACACGTACACTCCATTAATAACTACGACATGGTCCACTGTGCTGCCTACAGTGCATTCGTTATGTTATCCCGTACAGTCGTCATGTTGTCTATAATACCTTATTGCGGTTGACTCGGTCATTCTCCATTTCGCCCATATTCTGCCCTATTTTGACGATCACAATATACTTGCTTATTACCCATACTATTATTGGTTTGTTCGAAGATACGGTCATCCATATTGTACATTCTGATAAAATTATAAAGTACACAACATGCCATAACAATCTTCCCTTGTTTCTCCAACGAGTAATTGTTCATTCCATTTAGAATACGGAACCGTCTTTTCAAAACACCAAAGATTCTCTCGATAACATTGCGGAGTGAAGCATGTCTGTAGTTAAACAACTCTTGTAACCCCCTTCGGTTATGACGGTGATCAGAAATATGGTAAGCCACTCGCCTATGAGGGGCAAGAAATCCATCTCTATTTGGATAACCCACATCAACCAAATAGTATTTCCCTATAATAATATCAGACATTTTATCTGAATTACAAGGCCTCAACAGTGGAGGTAATACACTATAATACGTCAAGAAAATACTTATACCTGGTGGAGGATGTGGGAATCCAGAATTAGGATCATCAATAATTGAATTTAAAACTCTTGAATCATGCGCAGATCCTTCCCATCAAATAACGACATAAGTAAACATCATCTTAAAGTCGCATACAGCCATTACATTCTGTGACATCGATCCTTTGTGATTCTGGTACCTATCGGCAAATTCACGTGGAACCGAAGCGTATACATGTGTGCCATCCATGGCTCCAATACAGTCCTATCATGCAAATTGAATTTTACTCATATTAACCTACTATAAAAATTAATAATACAATGAACTTAACTATCTACCAATAGCAAACATAATCAACCAGTACCTTAAAGAAAGGGTAATATTTTCTGTTGGCTGATATTTCCCATAGAACATCATTGAAGTCAGGTAGTCTGATAAACTCTGTCTTCAACTCATATATAGCGTCGCAAACTACTGTAACATGTCTAGAGATCGTCTCACCCGAATGTTGGAAATCCTCCATCATCGTTCTGATTGTCCCGTTTTTTCCAACGATTGTTAGAAATATCATAACTTGTTCTTCCAAACTCGTCCTCTTGGTTGGTTCCAATTTGCCTTGATCGGACAAAATTTCACATAACAATGTAAAACAGTCTTTGTCCATATGGCACTTGTCATAGATCCTGTCAAGATGACTGTTAAGTACTTCCAACATGTACTGATGACCAGTTAATATGGATGTATGTCGTAGTTCACGCCCACTTGCTTCTAACACGGCAACACCGCAGAGTGCAATGGCTATATCTGTCAGTATTTCTTCTTCATCCCTCTCATCTGTAGCACGTCATCCTCTTCCTGTACGGCTAGACGACGCCATTTAAACCTACACATTTGCAAAACATTTATCAACAATTAACAGTTGTTGTACTACTTAGCAAAATATAACAGTCAATATTTAATTGTCATGACAATCGAAAATGGTGTTTACACATGTAATATCACATAAATAAGTTCATACAGTAGCGTTATAAATTGTAATTGTAATGACAACTACCCACTGACGCATACAAAATTGTTGCTAAACGCTTATGAAATATAGTGTCATCTACTTATTGGGAAAGTTGTTATAAATCCAGTTAGCCTTTTCCTCCAATGGGAGTTTCACGAATATCTCCCACCACCCTGGATTTTCATATAAGTACGTGACAACCGGCAGGTAAAACTGTGTCGGTACTTGCATGGCCGTCATGATGTCAATACAATTGCTCATGGAAAAAGGATCAGACGAAGCACTGGTGTTCTCTTCTTCCCTCTCATCTGCACTGCGATTTCTAGCCCTCGATCCCATAGTCCGCTTCTCCGCAAGCTCGTTCGTCAAGCTAAAAATGGCATCCGCAATTGAATGTCTAGGCCTCCTTCTGTGCCTCATATTTCTCGCTCTTCCATGGCCAAATGTGTTTGGCTGTTTTTCCCGTGTCGTCCGATCAGGATCAGGTTCAAAGTCGCTATCATCAATGGGAACTGCATCGGGATTGGAATAACTAGAGGTCTCCACCGGTTGGGATGTAGATGTGTACGCATATCTTCCAGTAGCAGTTTGCTTCTCAAATATTATTTCATAAAACTCCTTGTGAGGAAGTCCTTTGTGGTAAAATTATTGCGCCAGTGGGTTTTGCTGGTAAGTTAAAAGAATAATATATTAATATTTAGCAGTCTGAAAAAAATGCGTACATTTACGGTGTCGTTGAATAATAATAGTTAAAAAATATGAAAATTTACCTTGACATATTCTTGCCAAACCTCAATGGGACACGTTGGACTTTGTGACTCGTGATCCCACCCGAACCCTGTGTGTTGCAGCAATTTCCGCCATGCTTGATAAACTTTACGCAAGCGAAAGAACTTAGAGGTTAATTGTGTCACGTTGAGTCTTCTGTCAGCCAGTGATGATATGTCGTCCAACATTTCCTGGTAATCAGCTATTTTTATTATAGTACCGTGCAAAGTTTTGGCCTGCTCAGATAACAGGACCGGAAATTTGTGGGTCATCTCAGCAGACTAGGCCATAGAATCACTCATCTAAAGACAATACGGTGAGGGACAACCAATATTAGGGCACCATACGAATCACCAATCACATTACAAAATATAATACTCACATGTTAATGTAATCAACTAAACACATATAAAATTATACCTCGTTCGATCCGACACTGCTTGAAGACGTCAATGCAGGGGGAGATACAGACAATGTCGACCAATAGGGTGTATGACGAACTCCAAGTCTGGAAAAATGTCGAAACTTTCGCCTCTGTTGCAAGTAATAATCAAGCCTATGATGTCAAGACAAATTATGTTGACATCTGTGCATATGAGCGTAATTTCTGATTACGATTAAAGAACGATGTCGAATCTACACAACAAATATATCAATTAGTGAAACCCGAATAAAATATCTGAGTCAACCAATTACAAAACGCATTATTAAAGTCCAAATTAAAAGGATTAATGAAAAGAAAAAAACAGTATTAACACAAATTATTTCCAATAAAAAAATGAAAAAAATAGCGTCTCGGTGTCTTGAAAACAAATAGGTAATGGAAACTTACAAACTGGATTTGGATACTTCGCGGGTCTCTTTCCCTTCTCTGAGACAGATAAACATCAAAAACAATTAAAGGGATCCATGTGTGTACAGGAGATTAAAAACCTGTCAAACAAAACAAAAAACTTATTAAAACAATTCATTCGTGTGCCAAACAAAACAAAAATGCATTGAAAAGGATTCATGCCTATGCCAAATAAAACAAAAACGAATAAAAAAAAAATCATTCCCGTGCCAAACAAAACAAAAACGCATTTAAAATCATGCGTGTGCCAAATGCCAAATAAAACAAAAACCCATTCACAATCATGCGTGTGCCAAATGCCAAATAAAACAAAAACCCATTCACAATCCATTAACGCAAAACAGCATCCCCTTCTACACAAATCAAACAAAAACCCATTCATAATCCATTCGTGCCAAACAAATAAAAAACGCAAAACAGCATCCCCTTCTACACAGATCAAACAAAAACCCATTCACAATCCATTCGTGCCAAACAAATAAAAAACGCAAAACAACATCTCCTTGTCCACAAATCTGAGGTGGGTTTGATCCAGATGGGGGTGTGGGTTTGTGACAGATTGGGTCACGGTCACGGTGGGTTTGTGTGTGATCGAGGTGTGGGTTTGCGACAGATCGGGTCACGGTCACGGTGGGTTTGTGTGTGATCGAGGTGTGGGTTTGCGACAGATCGGGTCACGGTCACGGTGGGTTTGTGTGTGATCGAGATGTGGGTTTGCGATAGATCGGGTCACGGTCATTGCGGGTTTGTGTGTCATCGGGGTGTGGGTTTGCGATAGATTGGGTCACAGTGGGTTGGTTTGCGACATATCGAGTCACGGTGGGTTGGTTTGTGACAGATCGGGTCATGGTGGGTTTTTGTGTGACAGATCGGGTCACGGTGGGTTTGTGTGTGACAGATCTGGTCACGGTGGGTTTGTTTGTGATAGATCTATTTCCGGGTTCACAGTTGGGGATCTGAGGTGGATTCGCGGTGGGTTTGTGACAAAGGGATTTGCGAGTTCACGATGGTGGGTTGACGGTGGGTTCACGTTGGGTTAGGATGTGGGTTTGTGACAAAGGGATTTACGGGTTCATGGTGAGAAGTGAAGCACTGAAGCTGGTACTGGATACTAGAAAGTGAAATGGTGGTAATGCAAACTGGGAAGTGAAGCACTGAACCTGGTAATGGATTATCAGAAACTGAAATGGTGGTGATGGATACTGAGAAAGTGAAGCACTGAAAACAGTAATGCAAATTGAGAAGTGAAGCACGAAGTTGGTAATGGATACTGAGAAAGTGAAATGGTGAAGCAGTGAAGATGTAGTGAAGAAAAGTGAAAAAGCTAACTGTAACGGTCAAAAAAAAATTTGTCAGGGTAGTTGTCAGGATTGAGTTATCAGGACAATATTGTGTAAATAATAAAACAAACACTATCTGTAGAATCCGGTCCAGAATATGAATAAAAATACTTAGCCAAATGCAACCTTTGATGTTTCTGAAATGT